AAAAAAAAAATGAATGCCGCTAGGATCGAACCCTAGCCGCCCGCGTGGCAGGCGAGCACGCTGCCAACTCGACAACGCGCCAATTTTGAAATTATAATTTCATTAGTAGTATATATTCAATACATTGAATAATTTTTTTCACTTGAAACTCCATAAGATGTGGCTTCCCTCTTCCGCTCGTTCTACAGTCCGCTAAATTTCAGTTAAACAAATAAAAAACAAAAAGCATTCATACCGCAGAAAATAAAATTCACCCCGTCGACTTGATGAACACCCCCGCATTGCATATGGTGGGGTCCCTCTCTTGGGGTGCAGTACTACGATGCCGCTGGGGTTACTCAACCCCCCAGGACTGATGAACTCCTGGAGGGGCTTATAGGTGGCGACACTCCAAAAATTCCCCCTTTTTAAAAAAAAATCATCCATTGCCTCCATTGCTAATTGCATCAACCATCTTGTAAAACGGAAATAATTATTGCGCCATCGGTTTGTATTTAAAAAAATGATTAAAAGATTTTCCTCCACTCTTAAACCATCGATGAATAAATGAAAAATAAAAAAAAACTCCACAAAATAATTAACGAGTGAAAAATACGAATAGTCCACAACGAAAATTAAGATGCGTTTGTTTATTATTAATCTTACGTAATATTATTTTAAAGTTCTTAATTATAATATTGCATATATTGATCGTAATATAATTATAATATAGAAATGTATACAGATTAGATACAATTTTTCACTTTTATCTTCATATTGTATAGACGTTTTATCCATTCTCTCTCGTTTCACGTATTTTTCTTTATAAATCGATTGGTATTTTCATGAATTTATTTAAAAATTCAATTTCTCCATTCACTCAATGTTATTTTAGCCCCAAAACAACATCTATTGAACCTTGAACGTCGCTATAATCCACTTCAACTCGTGTCCAGGGCAAATCAGTCGTATTATTATATATGTTTTGAACACAATCTTTTTAAATATGACGTTAGGAAAATTACGGTATTTCATTTACTCTGGCCGCGGCACGTTCTCAATTCTATGCAAAATATGGAGGATAATAAATTATCTCACTCTATTGAGTTACGTCCCCCCCATTTATCCTCATTTTTTTCTATGTATAAACAATTATTCTCCCCTACAAAATCAAGATGAAAGTAACATTTCAATTCATGAAGACAAGATAAGAGTACATTGTGAATTGATGGTATTATTTACAAAAGTGTGATTGTGTGTATTTGCTAGATAAAAAAATACAGACTATCTCAACTGCCAAAATGAACTCTGTACTATTACTTATTTTCTTTATTTATTTACCAAATAATTGTACAAATTCGTGTGATTATTTATCGTAGGATTTAACTTGAGAATATATCGTAGAACTCTATCCACTCGAGCTTCCTCAATTTAACTCAGTTAATTTCGTTTGAGTTCTCAGTGAAATCATAAAACCAAAGAAAAATATATATATTCATGGAAGAGATGTTTTGGTGTAACTGGTGGAGGGATTTAAAAAGTTTACCCGTTACAATTAGCTTGGAACATGTCTCGGCCAGCACTTAGTCTATGTAAATGTATACATTTCTGTTGTTTGCTAATTGGCTTAAATACTCAGTATTTTTGTGACAACTGTTGAATGACCACTTTTTCTTCATCTTCATTAGTCAGTTTTGTTTTATTTATCTCTCTCATTTGTCTATTCGTAATTGTTTTTTTGGTAATTGTCACGATTTTACGTGAGAGTCTCTCAATAATTTAGGAATCATCGAAGTCAAGGAACAATTCATCGTCAATTTTAAACTTAAATCCCGCGAAATGGTGATTTCATTCACTAGAAATTAACTCTGAGATTAAAATACTCTGAAAAACCGATAAAAAAACATTCAGTGCAATTCTGTACCCAAAAATCAACTGCCATGTCTCAACAAGAATTTTCATTCTCCCCTCATATATTTTTTCTCCTTAAATAACAAGTGGTTGTTTTATGCATATAATACAGTACATTTTCTCGGCAGTTTATCTATTTCAGTGTGAGATTTATCATAGTTTAAATATTCTCTATCTATTCATTGTTTTCTTTTTGTAAAATTACACGTTTATCAGTCTGCGACACTAATATTGCATCTTTTGAAAAGGGGATGTACAGTCAAGCCCTCTTCCAATGTGTGTAAAAATAATTATAATTTTATTGCTATTTATTTTTTTTTTTTCAACGTTTTTTTTTCCCTTTTCGTCACCTCGTGCGTGAGAAATAGCATCAATAGATAGACATTTTTAAAGTGCAGAATTTTTGGGCACAAAATTCAGTGAAGAATGATAAATCGAATCAAGTGATAATTAATTAATCAATCAATCAATCAAATCAATTAATCAATTATTACCAATAGAATTCTGGTATTTTGGAGATAATCAATTAATATTTCTCCATGACATCTCCAATTGGCTCCACAACTTTGCAAAAACCTCGGAATTTTCCCAGCGATAATGAAACCATAAAATCATTTCAGATTATTTATAATGAGCCCCTGAAAAGCCACGAGTATCCAGAAACGGGTGATAAATGCATGCATGAGGAAAGGAATTCGACGATAAGTCTGGAGGGATGAGGAATACAAGGTAACACCTAAATCGGGGATTCCCATTAAATTTAATCTGCACCAGTGGATCAAAATATCAGCGCAGAGTCCTATTCGATTTGTATAAAAATATACAAATTATCTTAAAAAATTCTGCAACGTAATCACCGCACAAGTTATTGAAAGAAAACGCTCAGTTATACCCAGATTTATTTCACACCTCTGTCCTGCCACACGTCAGCGTTTCACCAGAAATTTATTTAATCATGTACAATAACACTTCATGGTTCATCAACTCAAGACGAATTTGTTGATTTTAGGGCAAGATGTTCCCCCTGCGAGTGCCTATCACCATAATTTATCAATGTTCAACAAAATAAGGGACACTTATCACCTCGAAACGATTGTAATTGAACAAATACATCATTACTTTTCACTCGATAGATGCAATGATAAATTTTCATGCCCCAATGAAAAATAAAACCTGGATATTTCAGAAAGATTACCTATCGCGTACAACTCCCCATTTGTTTGTTCAATTCCAACCGTCCGAGCAAAATTATCTTGACGAACGTGATAAATGTCGTGAGCTCCCCTTTTTTTTTAAATCCATCACTCGAATCACGGAAGTATAGTTGATTAAATGGAACGACGAATTCAAGAGAATAAAAAAAGGAGAAAAAAACCACAATAATAATTAACAGTAGAAATCAATGATGATGTGTGTTGAAAACAATTGCATGCGATACGCGTGTATTGAATTTTTTTTTGTCAATTTTTTTTTATTTAATTGTAAAGTACCTAGGTTCCTCTCTTTCGCGTATGATTATACCATTCTTGATGAATCTTACATGTATACGTTTTTTTTTTAACTTTCTTATTAATGCATTTTTTTGTTTTTCTTTTTCTTCGTGTTTATGTATAAATATGTATTGTTAAGCCGCGCAAAGCCCGTTTGTTTAGAGTCCTTATTCAGCAACAAACAGACGTTTGCATCTGGCATTACGCCCTCACACACATTACCCACACACTCACAAAATATTCCATTCATCCATTACCAATTTATTCAGTTGTCTCATTCCAAAACTCACTCTTCCAGAATTTTTTCTTTATCCAAGTAAATAAAAGAGTCGAGTTTCACACGTTTTAATCAATTATTTATCTCCATTACTTTAATAGTTAAAAGCTAAACCCTAAAGCTGCACTCTTGTTTTATTTTATATCATTCACCTAGGTGTATTGTACAAATAACTAGCATTCAATGCGTCTGTCTCATGACAATTATTTGCTAAAAACCATTACATTCGTGACATCGTGTATAAAACTCTATCGGAGTACATGGTTACATTGTTATATATATAATTCTTTTTATTTATCCAATAATAGTAGTTATCACTTTTTTTTTTGCTCTCTAGGCCACACAATAACTGATGCCATTTCATTTGTGGTTTATTCGTTTATTATAACTTGATCTCATTGAATTTTTCATGGTTTTTACTTAATGGATACCGACTAAACGTGATTTTTAAAGTGTCTGTTTTGTTAATCGGGCGGGGCCCGAGAGGCCAGTTGGGTTCATCCTCACTAGGCCGTTCAATCCTCCCCCTGGTTTTTCCATCGTATTTATACATGCTCCACGTCACGCCCAACGTCGGGGCCTTCGTCACATTGTTAAAATGAGAAAAAAAAAAAAATATCTATCAATACCGTCTCCACCCAATCCCTTCTCCCCTAAAAAACAAAAACCAATTTCCAACTCATTCAAGTCATTCCATGAATCATTGTCGATGCACCTCGAGTCTGTTCGAGGCTTACCATTGTCATATCTATTGTAAACAATCATCAAGATTGATCTACATGTCTCGTCAATAGTCTTCACCATGAAGATCAACGTTTATTATTTTCTAAACATGTTACCAAAGAATTTGTTGAATTTTCATGTTGAATTTGTCACCCTTTCCCTTTCCTATTCGAAAAATTGAAATGCCAGTTGTACGGATAATTAATGAAAAATTAATTTCAGTGTATAGCAACTGGACTCTGTTGTACACAAACACCAACCATTGGACTGTCCTCGCGTTCAGGATCTCTCTGTTTGCTCGTTGCAACCGACGTTGGTTGTCTCACAATACCATGGGCATCATTGCCCGTATAACTGTAGTTGTAATAATTTTGTTGTGGTATCATAGGTGATGTCATCATGGCTGGTAAATGCCCCATACCAGGGAGAATGAGGCTGTTGTAAGTGCCAAGAGAGCTTATCCGTGAATTGTCCATTGACTGTATGGACGTCGGGGCTGAGGTTGTTGGCACCTCAGTGGCTGGTGTTGATGGATAACATGTCATATTAACACGACGATTACCACATTGACGTGGTGATGATTCACAATCCATCGGCTGATAGCCACCAGGTAGGCTTGGCACTTGCATCAAGCTGCTACTACTGCCACTACCCTGCCCTGACATTGTTACCAGTCCTGTGGACATTTCAATTATTATCTTTAATCAGTCGATGACACTCACATCGCAACATGCACTTCATATCATTAAATCAATTTATTTCAATAATAAGAAGAAATAAAAGACTAATTGCTAGACAATAGTTCACCCACTAAGACCTCTAATTTTTTATTTGCACTGCCAGAACATTCATCTTCATATTAATTTATTTATATAATTTATTTATCTCAAGATTTCCACTCTGATTTCTATTTTATTTATCCATTTACATAAAATTTCTGGCAGTGCAGGTAAGATTCAAGAGCGAAGAGGTAAACGGTGAGTCGGGGTGAAACGTTTTCGAGGAATATCTCTGAATCTAGAAGAGATGGCGAATTTTTTGTAAAGACTTCATTCATAGAATGGCACGAGTACTGCAAAAATCCTTTTTACAAAAATTTCGCTATCTCTGATAAATTCTGAGATATTCGGGGAAAACGCGGTTGTTAGGAAAATCGACTTATTACCCCTTACATTTTCGCTGCTGAATATTATGTAATGGTGAGGGGGGAGGGGGTTAGGGGTAGGGGGCTACGAAGAAATTAATTTCTAATGTTCTACAGAGGGCTGGGGAACTGGCAGGCATTTGGATCCATCGTAGAGTCTCCTAACACCCTTCCTCGTTTCATGATCTATTTTTTCATCACTCTATAGTCCAGAAAACATTATTAGATGCACAATAACTTGTCATTGTAATTTCAATTGTTATAATCGTGCTTTACGTGCAGTAATGGAAGAATGTTAATGGTAAAATAAGTGCTATTGATATATTTTCAATGATGATTAAATTGACAAGAATCTCAAACATGAAGAAGGACATTTGAGTTGATGTAATTAAAATGGAGAAACCTGGGAAACGCACGTGAAGCGTCAAGGTGATGCTTGACGCTGCACTTTGTGGATTTTATTAATAACAAATTGAATATTCCGAGGGTAAGATTCGATGGCACGTGTACAGCGGCACAAGGCAAATTGCTAATAGCATGCGGATGTTTATTCCTCGTTGATTATTCATATTCTTCGGTAATAACTCATTAACAAAACGATGGACTCACTACAAATAAAATGTACGAACTGACTGACACAGATGCATTACATCATTCGACACTGGAATACCTTCGGCTTGATTGAAACAATTCGCTGAATTATTTTCCAAAAAAAAAATTAATCAATCAACACGATGTGGAGGGGAAAATATCATCAAGGGGAAAATATTCCAGGCCATCCAAATATTTAAAATAATCATTTAAAATCAAATATAAAAACTGAGGCCACGGCTTTTGCATTGGGAAATGTAATTTATGAATTTATGAGGTGAAAATTATCATCGAGACACGGAAAAATGAAGGCCAGAGCCACGGGCTAAATAAATACGTTCCATGGCTCTGTGCAATATTTTATGGAAGAAAGTAAAATAAATAAAAAATATAACAGATATTGTTATTCATTATTCAATACAGACAAGCAAGGCTTCGCTCATTGCAATCCGAGGCCACGGGACACATCATTTTTATTTGAAATAAATATGCTGGATGGGGTTGTTAGATTGTTCAATTTGAATTGACACGTTATTTTTTATTGTTTTTTGATAGGATTTGTTTGTTAGAGAGAAACTTACTTATGTTAGTAAGTAAGATTAGGGTTGGGGGCCTAGGACAGGTCGTCGCCGCCCCGCGGATACGACAGTCATCGAGCCACGTACTGTCCCCCCATCATATCTACGGGCAACAACAAGTATTTGGTTTAGTTTTGTGCAGAAACTAAGCGATAACGGTAATTAACAATCGTTAACACTTTAATTTATCGCATATTTCTACAGTTATTTCAATTATCAGCACCATCTTCCAACGATTCAATAAATAATTATCTAAAATTCCACTGCATCTTTAGTCAGCCAAAGATCGTTCACAATAAATCCCTAATTTATGTTTAACTCTTTTATTTAACAGTCAGCCTCGCCTGCGTGTCCCTGACATCAACGGTGAAAGAATATTTATTTGAAGAGAAAAAAAAATGAGAATAAAATTAAAAAGATCCAGAAAAATATTATCTTACTTTCTGCACAAATCAAAACTCCTAAAATTCTGAAAATCTCTGAACAATGTGTCCTCAACAGTCACAACACTCGGTCATCGATCGTCTCTCGAGGCTGATCCTAAAAATTCAGGTGCCTTTTTGTTTCACAATAACATTAACTCATAACTCATTAACAATACTAAAATCTGGATATTCACTGGTTTCTTCTGAAAACACCAGAAACACCTGACGCGCAATATTTTGAAGCTAGATCGTACGACAAGTGTAAATAAATATATAAAAAACGAAACTATAATGATTAAAACTGAAGATGAATGATGAAAATCAAGCGGCACAAATATACATATTAAACCATTAATTTAATCTACACTCGTAATAGTAAATATTAAAAAATGTTTTAAATCGTTGGATTCGCTGAATTTCGAGCCTAGAGTCGACGTTAGTGATCTCAATACACAAAATGTCATCACTCGATTGATTACCGGTTGAAATCTCCTCTGAATATCAACAAATTCACATGATCATCGTCTTTGGCGATACACACGTTGATTCGACAAAAATTCAAAATATCGACTAATTAATTACAAAGTGATTAGTCATGATAATGGAATATAACTCACCACTGTCCTGGCTCATAGCAACCACCGCTGGACTCGTATTAGCACTATTGGCAGCAGCAATATTTGTGTTGGTCCCCTCATCGGCCGTTCTCTTGAAAAAATTGTGCTGTAACGCGTAAAAAGGCGTCACCCTCGTCTTCGGATCAAAATCCAACATTCTAAGTATAAGATCCTTGAACTTGAGGTAGTCGGATATTGAGTGGCCTGGTTCATTTAACCTTCTACCACCTGGACCACCACTCTCAACTCCCAGTATATCGTGCAGTCTTCGGGAACCAGGGGATTTGTACTTTTTACCGTCCTTGGATTTTTTCAGTACGTAAGAACCGTCCGTTGGGAGTTTGTCAAAGTACTTCCGCGCTTTGTGCGCTTGGTCCAATATGTGCTTCGGTGGCATACCCAGCACCTCCACTATTTTATTCATCTGATCGACCTAATCATCAAAGAGATCATTTATTTAACATTCACATTGATTATCGACGACTGGGAATTGTCTCTGGGACTCTCTATCCACTTGGGAAATTCTTATTTCGAAATGTTAGATTGATTTTTTTTTATTAATCGATATTTAATGAAGCTCTCTACCTCGAGTTATTCAGTACTTCCACTATTTTATTCATGTGATCGACCTCATCATGAAAGAGATCATTAATTACTCATCCGCATTGATTCTCGACGACAGGGAGTTATAGTTGGGATTTTCACTTCGCTGGGGGATTGCTGATTTTATTGGAAATGTTTAACAAATGTTTGAGGAATCTATGTGAAAGGAATTTCATTATTTTTACGAGAAAGAGTGAACAATTCCGGACAAAAGTCTTTTAACAATTTAGTTTTTCACATCAATTGACATTTAATAAAACTGTAACACTCGATTTATTGTGCAGGAGTACTCGAAATTCTCAACTTGATTTTTCGGAAATCTACGGAGGAATCCGAGACACACAATCAGTGGGTTAAAATTATCAAGATAAGAGATAACACTATCAGTCGAGAGAAATCTAGAATTTGAATACTTTGAATTCCGAATAAAAATTCTCAACCGTCTCGCGTATTTTCTATCGTTCCAAAAAATTTCCCAAAAAATCAGAGACAATTGTAAAACCAATGAAAAATTAAATGAAAATTCCTAGAAATTCTTACCTCGTTAGCCCCGCTGAAGAGAGGTTCCCCTGTATGCATTTCCACTAGAATACACCCCAAACTCCACATGTCTATCGCCAGATCATAAGGAATACCGAGTAAAACCTCGGGTGATCGATAAAACCTAGATTGTATATATTGGTATATCTGAAAGACGAAAAATCCATCATATAAAAAATTTTTGCAATAAAAGCAATCATAATAATCGATAATTCTTAATTTACAAGTAAAAACAAATAAACTAGTGATTATTCCAATAGCAATTGAATATTTAATTTGCAATAAAATGATCTATTGGATTTGGATTGTTAATAATACATTGTTAATAACAAATTACCCTCTGTCCTAGCTGACACGAACTCCCAAAATCGACGATCTTGATCGCACTCCTCTTAGGATTGCAAAGAAGAATATTCTCTGGCTTCAGATCACAGTGAATGATGTTCAATTCCGGTGTGGACAGGAACAGGAGGGCAGTACACAGTTGTTGCGCAAATTTTCTCGTGAGGTTCAATGACACCCCACGGAAATTCGTATTTCTAAGTAGGTCGTAGAGGTTATAAGACAGTAGCTCGAACACCAGACACAAATGATTTCGCCACATAAAGTGCCTTTTCAGTTTAACTGCAGAGTGAATGATAAAAAAAAAGGATGTACGTCAGTTGAAGAATACGAGTCAGACATTTTAATTATGAGTTTTAATTGATGGGTGGTGGGATGTTACTCACCTATATAATACTTGTTGTCGGTATCCGCTCTATTCATCATTTCTAATAACCTAACTTCGATTTGCGCTTGGTTGAGGAAGGGTTTTTTATTCTTGATGATTTTTATTGCTACCTGTGCCTGCTCCTCGTGGTCAAATGCTTTCACTACTTGGCCGAAGCTACCTTTACCTGTTGATTAGATTAATTAGATTAGATTTCATTAATTCATTCATTACATCTTCCCAACATAATTAACAACATTAATAATCACTTTTGTCCCATTTTTTTTTCAAATTGATAAAATTTATTCAGAGATGATCAATTAAAAGAAATAAATTTATATGATCATCGCATGTCCCAATTTTTAGTGTTTTGATTATAAAAGTCTGTCTTAATGATTTTTAAGGAAAACCTAGGACTCACCTATTAACGAATCAATCTCATATCGATCCAAAAACTTTTCACCATTCTTGATGATGTAGTCGTGGTTGTCGTCGTCCCATCCGTCGTTGTAGAGTTTTCTCTCCTTCTTGTGCGATCCATCCTCACCCTGCATCTGTTGCGCTCTCCTCTTCTTCTTCGCATAGTAAACCTGAAGTCAAAAAAATAATCATTACGCTATTTTATGGACTGACTACAGTTTTATTTGGTAATAAATTAGCATCAGTATCACTAATAATAATTAATTATTCTGAGTATCAAATTTTTTGCACGCAGAATCCACAGTTCTGTTTAATTGAAGTTTAATTCATTAATTAATCAATTAATTATATGGATATGGATGATGAGAATGATTGGACACCGAGTTCTCATAAATTCCATGACGATTTTTAATTGGTAAAAATCTTGGGGGAGCTAATACTAGTCAGCAGAGCTTCAACCCTCCCAATTTCCTATTGAGATTCAATAAATAAATAAATAAATAAATTATGTGGATATGGATGATTATAATGATTTGATTTGGGTTGGAAAAATGGCGAACGATTAGACACTGAATTCTCATGAATTCCATGACGATGTTTAATTGGTAAAAATCTTGGAGGAGCTAATACTAGAGTCAACAGAGCTTCAACCCTCCCAAGTGTTTATCCTCAACCCCAAGTGTAATCCATCTTTCTTTCCGTTACACCCATCGTCCCTCGCTGAAATAACGAAAGGGTTGATAAGGAGGGAGGACGCTGGTACGAAAGAGCCTGGGGTTAAAAAAAAGAGGGAGAAAAAAGGGAGTTAAGTGCTATTACCCCTTGTAAGTGATCATTACTACCCCCTTTTTACCCCTCCACCCACTGTGATGAATCGTGAATCCTCTATTCGCTCACAAAATTACCCGCGCTTTCTTCTCAAAGTACCATGTGATTCGATAAATGCTGTGCAGTCACCTCTCTATGACCTGATAGCCATCCCCTCTCGAAACCCTGGAATTACCGGTACAGAGACTAAAAATGAGGGAGAGTGGAGAGAAAAAAAAAATAGGGATGGTGTGAGGGCGCAGAATCCGATCTTTGGGTTTTTCGGGGGTGAAAGATCGATAACAATGCCACCACGTGAAAATCATGCTTTCTCGGATTCTGGGGGTGGATATTTTTTTGTCGACATTTTACCACCCCTTTCTCCTTATTTAAGAACAAATTGTAAAGAGTGGGAATTTTGAGTTTAAGGGAGAGTTCGAGGAGTCATTTTATTTTTTTAAATAATCAGTTAATGTTTAATAAATTCTCATTTTTTCAGATTTAAATGGAAATTCAATAAAAAAATTGATCGTCCCACAAAAATCTTTAAAAATTCGAAGGATTCAGATAAAAATCTGGAAAAATTCTGGGAAAATTGAAATTTCGGGAGACCTTTCCTCCAATTACTTAAATTGATCATTAACCAATGATCAATCAATGGAGATAAACAAATAAGTCATTGTTGATATCGAATTTTCCGTTGTAGAACCGAATTAATTAATCATTGATATCTTCTCGGATTTTTTATTGTTTTCATTCGTCTGATTGTTCTATGAATTTAGGATAGATCTACGTGATGCAACCAGCAGCATTAACTCAAGAGAAAACCATCAATGGCACTTGCTGTTTATAAATACCATACGCACAAGGTTTTACTGAAAATCACACGGAAGGACATGACCTACCCCAACAACCAGTCTCTCTCCGTTTCACGTGACCCGTTTGGCCCCATTTCCCAACATCCGATAATACCAGTACCTAATGTTTTTACTTCGCAATTTTTTCACGTGTCATCCTCATGGATAAAACGAATAAAATTCAATGAAGCTGGAAAAAATAATGAGCAAGAAGAATAATAAGCTAATTGCGTCAATTAAGTGATAACAATTGATCAACGCAATAACAACGTGAGCTAATAAATTCCCCGACATTTTTTTTGGCAAGAGATTTTTCATAATTATATTAGTTGAATACCAGATATTTCGTGGAAATTATTAATTTAACATCGGCAATTGTTTATTTACGAAATTGGAAATAGTATTGAATAATCGAGGGTTTAATTAATCGTTTTATAATTCAATATGAAAAATAATGGAAACCATAAATTGGGAGTAAAAAATGAGTGTTATAAAATTATGAGATAATATAAAAGTGAAGACAATGAAATGTTATGATGAGTATCAGTACGATAAAGAAAAGTTGTCGCCATAAAATTAAAGGGATTGCCAGTAAAATTGTAAGAATAATCAAACAATTACCAAAAAATAATGGTATTTTCATATGAATAAAAATGAGAGAGTGAAAAATGGTCTGAATGAACTGGTGATTTCTCATCTCGAGCCCCTGAATTTTTACTTGTCAATTGGGAAAAGGGGGTAAATGGCAGTTGGTGAGGGTTGTTCTCCCCGAAAGTACCCCATGTGCACATTATTCCCATCGACGAGACCGAGTGAGATAAAGGGAGAAAAGGAAAGAAGAGGCGAATCGCGCTGGTGGAGCTGCTCTCTCCTGGTGCTAGACCGATTCTCCACTCGTTTCTGTTGCTATGCGCCAGAGAGAACTCCCAAAAGTCCACCCCAGGGACACCATCACTTAAATACATTTATTTTATATTTTAATACTTCATCCTTGTAGGAATTATAAATGAGGATGAGATGAAAATGTTGATGCTGATATTAAACAAAGAAGACATTTGTAATAAAAAAAAATAAATTGAAATTCAACATTATCTCATTTATTTAAAACCACAGCAACAATTAAATCATTAAATTCAGGAGAAATGGTAAATACTCAAAACGTTATATCAACGAATTTTATATATTTGAAATTTTTTAAATGTCTTTGTTGTAATTGTTTGAATAAATTGAAAAAGTTTGTGACACCTGTGAAATGATTCTTTTGCTGTATAAATAAATAAATGAATGAATAAGTTGATAAAAAATTAATGAATCCAATGAATTATCACTGCTGGAAAAATCTAATGGTCAATGAATTTTCTGTTTTAATTAAAGACAAATGGAAAAATATTCAGCATTAAATTTTGTTCGTTTGAATCGTGATTGTTCGTTTGAATTCTTGAAACCGGCGAGCCAGACGATAAAAAAAAAAGAACCGATAGGAGGTAGAGGATGCAGTGGACCAGTCTGTATAGATGCACACAACGAGAAACCCTCGACTTGTATTTTCTTGTGAGTTTGTCGCCTTGTCGAGGGACTGGTCGAGCTATTTTAGTGATTCAGGCTGTCAGACTGGATGACGAAATGGCCACGTCACCATACGAGGCCGTTATTAATCTGTGCAATGGTTTTTTTAACTTGCAGCATTAGAGTGAGATGAGTTTCATCTGGCAAGTGAGAGATATTCTGGAAAACGATGGAGACAGGGGGGGAGATGTAAACGTGAGAAAGAATGAAAGAGGATGGAGAAGTGAAACGATCCAGGAAAGTCATGAATGAGAGCCACGCGAGAAAGAAATACAAGAGCCAGGGGCCGTTTCGCGACCTTCCACCAGTGCGCCTTTTATTTTCTTCTCCATTCTTTCGTATTCAGTCTTTTTCAGGGAATAAACAGTGGTAAAGAGTAACACAGGGTTTTTTAGATTGTGGGGGGGCTGGGGAGAGATTTTTTTTTTTTGGGGGAAACCCCAGTGAAATGGATGTGGAGTTCATTCAGGTTTTCTTTTCAGTCAGAGTCTGAGAAGACATTGACATTCTGGGATTAATTGATTGGAGTGTTAATGATTTTATCATTCACCTTCTCCTCCCCTTCCTCCCCTTCCACCCCTTCCTCCCCTTCCACCCCTTTCTCCCCTTCCTCCCCCTCCTCACCCCTTGTGCAGGGAAAATCAAATCGTTGAGAATTTTTTTAATCATTAATTTTTATATCATTGAATTTAATCTCTGGAAGACTCGAGAAGATACAGCACTGAAGATTTTCTAGTGATTAATTAAAATTGTCATTCTTCGAACCTCTCAATTCCCTATTACTTTTAATCGTCTATTTTAAACGCTCGATCGATAGAATTCTATTTCGACCACGAAGAGGTAAAACGGTCCTATCGAAAATGACGAAATTCACTCGAACTGTTTCACTTATTCATGACTAACTAGTAACTCATCTAGAAAAATTCCTTAGAGAAAACCGGAAATAGAGAATATCTCCAAAAGTAATGGAGATAATCATATTAATGTCGATACCTTTTTTGTGGAGCTAATCGAGATCTACAAAAAATGTTACAACCTAAATTTTGCTATCTCCCCTGTACTCCAAGATATTCCCAAAAAATTCAAGATATTCCCCGAAAGTCCCTGATTTTTTGGATTTACGACTGATTATGGGGAGTAAATCCTTTCAATTGGAGAATTTTAATTTTTTTTTAGAGGATTCCACTAGTGGTACGTCCCTGAATCTCTTCTGAGTCACCTGACACAAGCCTAACGGTCAATGGAAAGTTTTTTTTACCAGTAAAACCTGCGAACTGGGCAGAAAGGTATCAGAAATCCGAGGTATAATCTGTGTACAGGATTTTTTTTTTTGAGGCTTTCGTGCTGATAGAATGAGCCGAGATTAATTCTTTCGTCGGGGGCTAAATTACGGGGTAACACTGGTGCCGACAGTTTAGCGTAATTACCACTGGTACGTAGGTGGGAAAATACCAGCGGTGAGGCAGGTTTAAGCCGTTTTTCCGAGGGGCTATTCACTGGTGAAATCGGGGTGTCACGTCTCGATGAAATTATTTCATAAATCGCGGTGAAATGGAATGTGATCCCATTAAATCCTATCAAATTATCTGAAATCGTTGAGGTCATGTGATTTCATCGATTCGCGTGATTGAATATGAAATCATTTGAAATCGGATGAGATCATATGAAATCGGATGAAAATCATATGAAATCGAATGTATTCTCATCAAATCACCTGAAATCGGATGAAATCATATGAAATTAAATAGCATCGAATACAATTCCATGAAATCATCTGAAATCATGAGATTTCATGGATTTGGTATGATTGCATATGAAATCATTTGAAATCGGATGAAATCATATGAAATCATTTGAAATCGGATAAAATCATATGAAATCGGATGAAAATCATATGAAATCGAATGTATTCCCATCAAATCACCTGAAATCGGATGAAA